GGGCAAAAAATCCCATAACTAGGGTAATGATTTACTGGTAATGAAGGTAACAAAAATGGTAAGTCCAAAAATATTTCACAGCTCTACAAAATGAAAGTGACAGCTGTGGCTACTAAGAACCTCAGATTTATAGGAAACTTATGCTGCTAGAAGTTACATTTTGTTCTTTGTTTCCTTTTCTTTAGATAGATAGATAGAGATATTTTAAGTATATTTAAAAAAAAAAAAAACAAACCAAAAAACATTTCCAAACTATTTCAATAAGTAAGTTCCTTTACCACTAACTTTGCAACAACAAAAGATCCCTGAAAAAGAAGATAATTAAATCCAGACAGTTCCCCTAGACGGAAAATACACTGCCCCTCAGAGAGAACAGATATCCAGTGTCTTTTGTACTATAGGGAGTTCGTATCGTATGCATCACAGTGGATACACTCTCACAACCTGGACAGATCATCAGTGAGGAAGAAAGATCCAAACAGACAGAGTTTACTAGGTTAAAAACAGTATATGGCTTTTTTATCTTTAAAAAAATAAATATCAGCAAGATACATTCTGCAGAGGCTGAAATTTCCAAATGGTCTTAAAAGTGTCTTACGTAGGACACATTAGAGTAAACTCCGTTTAAAGGCAGTCATGGCCTGATTTAAGTATATTCTTCTCCTGAGGAATTCTTCTCCTGAGGGATCTCTGCCAACTTCTTGCTGACTGGAGAACGCTAAAATACATTCTGGAAATGATGCTGTGTGTTTCTCCAAGCTGGGAGATCTCCACCATCATTTTCACTCTGTACTGCCTACTTCATCTGGAACAAGCTTCAAACAGCAAATTCTCCTCCAGAAAAAGATCATCAGTAGTGAGAGTGGAAGAAAAGAGGCCATAGGACGTATTTCATCAATGCACTGAGAGACAGAACTTATGCTTTTGAACCACTGTCTGTAAGAGGACTCCCCTGGATTTTTTTCTCCACGTATTTATTTCAAAGTTTTGTTCGAGGTCACTGTTACTCTACTGGACTTCATTTATGAACTATGTAGACGTATGAGGAGTTTTGCAGGGATTTTTTTTTTGCTTTCGAACATGAAGGGGGGGAAAAAAAGTAGATTCACTCTAGATTGTGAACTGGCATTTTTGCTAGGTCAAATCTTTCTTGTCTTTTCTGTAAAGCAGGAAAGATTTCCAACTTCAGAGATCTCCTACGCATAAACTGTGACTAGTTAGATTAAAGGCCACAATCCCAATTGTCAGGTGACTTAACTCAGTATAGTCTAACTGAAGTGAACGTTATACCAATCAAACCACTGGAGATATGGCACAACAGTTATGGCATATAAACTACAGTACTGATTTGTAAATAGCACGTTTTTATGAGTTTGCAGAGTATACCGTGTATTTAATAGTATAAAGTGCATCAGCACAGACAGAAATCACTGCTTCCAAACTGACTTTCAGGAAAGGGAAAAGGGAAAAATACTCTCTTTCAAAATTTCCAGAAAAAAAGAGAAGTAAGGACATCCCTTCTAACATTTATGTGGATGTGTATATTTTGGAATGAAAGGTAATAAAGTTAAATATAACAGTCTAGGTTGAAAAACATCAATTTATTCTGGCTGTTTCATTTTATGCATAGAGGGTCAACCTGTCTTGAAAAGGTGGCAGAAATTGATGTTGTGGGATGCTTGCAGATGCTGCTAAATAGCCTAAATAGAGGAGAGGTTTGCAGTAAGACTTCTCCCTCCAGTACGCACAAGTACGCAGCTTGAACTTCATTTACGTGCATAAGGTATACCCAAAAAAACCTTTTCACTGCTCGGAAAGTCAAATATAAGAACAGTACTGGACAAGTGTTTTCCTTCCACCTTAATAACTTATGGCCAGGGCTGGCCCTAGCATGTTATCGTGTCTTACAAACACACCCTGTAGAAGCACTCTGGTAAGGTAAGTAAGGATAAGTCTAGAGATGATATACTATTTCACGTGTGGCTCTATTAAATTACTGAAAAATATTTAGGGCACAGATCTAACGTTTCTCCTGCCAAGTGATTGTTTCAAAAAATGGGACATTGCTTCAAATGGAAACAGCTTTTCTTTGGAGATTTCCTCCTCCTTAAAATGCCCTCTATCACACCAAAAGATATGGAAGTAACAAGAAGTAATTTTCAGTAGAAATTTTACAGTTATGCTTTGTTGTACAGAAACATATAAAAAAAAGGAAAAAAAGGTACATCTGTGGAAAAAATAATAAGTGCCTTTCCCCCTGGTGTCATGTCTTTGGATATGTACAGCCTTGGAGAAATGTATAAATCATTTTATACATGGAACTCTTAAAAAACTAGAGATTTTTAGTACAAAGGAATCAATTCACTGCAAGAATGTCCACATGCTGTTGCTTTATGATTTACTATATACACAAGAGGATCAAACAAAGGACCTCTGTTTTATAGTTACGGCTGTACTGTACATTAACATGTGGCTAATACCCTTCTCTGGGTGAGATTTACACTTAGTATTACAAATAACATAGCATTGCTGAAAATACTGATACAAAACAGCTTCAAGATGACATTTTAAAAATATGCCTCACTTTAATTGAACTGTTTTCTCCAGTTTTTTTTTAAGTTTCAGCTTTATAAAAGATTCTCCAAGAAAATAGTAGCATTTAAAATGTTTTTTTTTAAATGTATAGATGGATTTTTTTAATAAAGTGTAATCCAAAAGTCCATTTTTCCAGGAAAACAAAACAACTATAGATACAGTACATAAGTTAAATGTGAAGAGGTGCTTTTGTTTTTTGGGGTTTGTTTGTTTGTTTGTTTGTCTGTTTGTTGTTTTTGTTTTTAATGTAGTATAGTACATTTGTATCCTGGAAAAAAAATTCCTTGATTACAGTGTATGTTAATTTATTTACACATGTGAAATATAATTGCATACATGAACTCTTGAGATGAGCAAGACTGAAACGTATTGTTAGTAAAAACCAACTGTTCTTTCAATCTACCATAAATTTAAGAGATTGCTTAGGTGAAAATGGGATTCTGAACAGTGAAAATCTGCTACTGCTACTTTAAATTTTTTTGGTAGACTTTAAACTATGAGTTTCAATGCAGGACTGGGAGTCTTGAATACCCACAGTTATTTCGGTCAAGCTATGTTAGCAATTTTTCCACATTCCATTTTGGCAGTAGCAATGCACACATGAACACAAAGAAGTTTGGCAAATGTTTGTCTTATGTATCCAGCCCAGGATACCCCAAGTTACAACTACAGAAATATTTAGACAAAACCTTCTCTCTTCAACATCAGATAATGTTATAAAATTTGCTCTAACCACATTAAAATCCTCAATAAATAGAAACCTGAAAGTTCAGGCCGCTGAAATGGTTTTGCAGAATATCTGCCAAGCTCATGGTCTATTTTTTTCTTAATCTAACCAATTCTTGTATCAATCTGAATATTAAGTAGTTAAGCAGATATGTTTAACACTAGGTAAAATTTGTAGCATTAATTAACTTTATAGGCTCTATGTGACTTACCTCTTAAAAGTCACAGCATTTTTAGTGGCTGCAGAAGTTTCATTTTTCATTATATGCTACTTCAGGTAAGTCACACTGGTTTGTTTCTTTGTGTGAGAATGTGCTGCACTCTTGTCTTTTGTTATTAATCACCAGTTAAAGAGAGAGGTGACTTGTCTCAGATTTGCCTCAATCATACTTAAACATGCCAGAATATTTATAACCTACTAACTATATGTCCTATTATCATTCAAACAGATTACCCTCCACCACAGAGGCTGTAAACTAAGTGTCATGTTTAGTATATGCCACATGTTTAGAGTAACTTGACTGAGATGCCTGTTGTCGAGCTCTCTGAAAGGGGAAAACAGGATCTTTTGTTACTGACAAGTCTACAAGTTCTATGGTGTGATCAGATGATTTCATATTCCCATGAGACCGGCATGCTGCACGTCAGGTAGCATTAGATTACTCTCACTTGTGCATAATATGTCAAGATTAGGAAACCTGCTGAGTTGGTATAAACCAGGTCGTTAAGTGCAGATGATACAGTCTACAGAAATTACGACTTACACAGGTAAATTGGACTGGGTAGTAAAAAAATTTTTCTTACTTGAGTCTTACCCATTTTTGGTTTGGGAATTGAAATGAAATTATACAATGCATTACACAGCATCGAATGTCACATTGTGTCATGAGTGATACAGTGCCTGTAAAGCACAAACATCACCGCAACTTTACATGTCCTCATAGAACAAAAGTACTTGAACAAATGTAGTTAAATAAAGGTGGGGAGAGGGAAGGCAAGGTTGAGGAACCAAGCTGACATCCTCAGTTTGGGACCCAATTACTGACTCAAATAACTGCTGAGCCTCTATCAACCTTGCTGTGAGAGGCAAATCAGTCAATTCCTCTACTTGTGTCATGAGGCATTCATAAAATACATACAGCAGGAAGCAGCAACACACCTGTACAAGTGAGCAAATTTCATTGTATTAAAAAAAAAAGTGTAAAAAGAGGGTCCTCAAAGATTTCTCACTCCTTATTTCCCTAGTCTCTATGAAATTCAAGAGGATTTACTAATTACGTATCTATTCATTCCTCACATCTACTTTAACAGTAACATTAGTAAACATACACAGTATTATTTAAGATCACCTTCTAGAACTTCAGGGAATGATAGTGGCTTATAGAGGGAAAAAAAAATTTAGCCAATATTGGACTAGCAGTGCCAGCCATGTGGTCCTGTTTATTATACCCATGGTGACTTTTGCATGACAAATCAATCTAGTTATTTAACAATCTAGTTCATCCTTTTGCCACAGTCCCAGACAGGGAAGTATGGAACCTACAAACAATGTTAATTTTTTACTTTATTTTTTTTTCAGGTGAAAGTAGCAGCAGATGAAAACTGAAGACTGAGCTCCAGGTGAGCTTATGTTCCTCTTTAATCAACTGTCCTTCCATGGCAAGAATACAAGCACCTTGTTACCCATCTTGTTGACCTAAAGTCTGTAGCTCTGCTGTGTGTAAATTGTGGTGGAGGAAAACATTTTTTCGGCTGTACATGTGTAAAGAGATGGGTCCCCTTGGAGGCTGTCCGAGTCTCCCTGTGAAAGTGGTATACTGCCGAGGTACAGCAGTTTGGTCTTTTGTAGCTCCTGAGAACATTGGGTAGCTGTCTGCTTTGGATGCTGGCTTTGCTGTACTTGATGCTGTGGTGGCCAAACCGTTCTGGGTGACCTCTGAAGCAAGGGTTTCATATGTGCCTTTAGTATGATTGATGACTTCCACGATCTCCTTCTCTTTCAGGAGGTTGCTCAGACACAAATTAGACAGCTGACAGCTCTTGGTTTCATAGGCGGTTGCTTGGTTGCCTGATGAGTATCTAAAAGGGTCCTCGGTGGGAGTATGTGCTGACTTTCTGTCCCTTGTGCTGAGATTTTGGCTCACCATTCTGTTTGGATATGTAGCCTGGGGAAAACAAAACAAAACAAAACAAAAATATTAGTAATAGAATGTAGTAGGGAAATGGCGTAGAGTATATTAAACACTTCTCACTATAGATGGACAGCACATGGGGCTGGCAGACTAAAATGAAAGATGAACCTCAAATGCTGGTAAAAGTCCCAAAGCACTGCTAGCATAAAATAGAAGTATTTTTCATGCATATTTAACAAAAGTAATATTGAAGGATGCTTATTATAGGTAATGATTTAGGCATTTTCTTTAAAAAAATAGTTTAAATCAAAGGAGAAGAATTTTTTTCAGAACATAATAAATGGATAAAAAGGTTTCATGAATTGTAAACAGATTTTCAAAAGCATTTCACATGATGAATCAACAAGAATTTTGATTGCATAGAGTTCAACCCTTAATACTCTCAAATACTTACAAAATTTAAAGAACATCTTTTGTGAATGTCTTCATGCCTTGGTTAAGCTCAGAACATGCTCAATTTTCATTGTCCCTTGAAACTACATGTTTTGTTGTGTACTCACAGTTAAATACATGCCAAAATGCTCTGCCAGAACAGAGCAATAATTTTATTTCAGCTGCCTGGAAAAAATACAATGTAAGAAGGATTCCAGCATGTTAGCAACTTTTGATGCTGTGTGAGCATGCATGCATTTGTATTTGTCTAAATAAGGGGAATTTATCTATACGTGGCAAGCCAGATCACTACAGATTTACACTGTGCACTTGCTATGATGCTTCATTTTGTCCTTCACAGAACACTTGGCTGGGGAGGACATAATGGGGCTGTGGGACCTTCTCTCACACCTTTAAAAAAAATACTCTCCGTGTATAAAGTAAAATAAAGCGCTGAGCGGAAAATGCTAATACAGTCAAAGCAGGATTCTACCTGTTCTACTACTGACTGTACTAGGTAGCTTCTAGAGTTGATGCCCAGGAACTCAGGGTGATGTGCTTGTGGCTGAGGAACAGCACTAGCCAAGCTGTGAATGTTCAGAAGTCTGATCTCTAGAGGAACTTGAACTTTGAGTCTATATGGCTTTGTAAGAAGGCTTCATCTTTTCATATATTGTTACAAAACATATATGACACCATTTTACCCAATAAGAATTAAATACCTGAAAGGTGTATGTGAGTTTCAAATGTTGTTGACTTAACCTACTTAAACGCTACTGTCCTTTGTCATCTAACATTGTATGTGCAAAAAAAAAAAGAAAGGGTGCATGGGTGTGTTTCATTAACTTTGCCAGATATATATCCATACAATATTTCAAGGAAATCTTTAACTTACACTGCAATTAGTGCAACTCTGATTTTTTTTTTTCTTTTTTTAACTAGTCAGTTTAGAGTAACTAAGCTGCAGTTTTGTGAGGAAATTCTAATAGCATCAATTGTACTTTATTTTAAAAGTTATTTTGGAATACATATTTGCCCTCGTTTTATCCGTGTCACACTTTCCCAGGAAATGGTCAAAGCACCTATTTCTGACATTCGTTTGCAACAAAAGTCCAATTTTACTCCATATAGGTTTTCTGCAACAACTCTGAAAGGACATAGTAGCAGCTTCTTGACATTTACATTGCTATATTGGCTCTGACGTCACAAAACAAGGCTGAGAAAAATCAAAAATACTCCCAAGCTTTCCAACAATACTTTGCTAAAAATATTTCAGGATGTTTCCACGATTCCATAGGAAACTTGTATATATCATTCCAGGACAATCTGTATCACTTCGCATGCATTTCTATTTTAAGCAGCTTACATCCTTTTTTTAGTGCAGGCAGGCTAATGGTCATGCTTCTACGCAAATTCATACTCAGGTTCGGATACAAGTATTGCAGTGCATTTTAGGCACCAGAGATGGCATTTTCAGAAATTATTAGTACTGGCATAAAATTTTTCCCAATTAATTCCGTGATGATTGCACCTAGAACACTTCTGGAAAACATCATTTAAGTTTTCAGGCCTACAGCACATAAATGTTGAGGTGAAATCCAATTTAATTCCATGGGGAATTCTTGGGAAGACGCGTCTTTAAGTTCCATTACTTTATTTATTTATTTATTTATTTCTATGCCAGTAAATAAAATCTTGCTAGCAGGACAAGAGAGTCAAATTCAATGCCCTCCCAGAAAACCCTGCATTTGTTGTACGGGAATGTTTCTGGAGCTACCATACATCACCCTATACCCTTTGACATCCTGAAGATTTATACCATAGAACTGAGAGGAACTTCATGATGGAACATCTAGTCTGTTCTACACTTCCAGTTAGTATCAGCTTATGCTTATATTGTTCCTTACATTATTTTTTTTTAACCAGCTGTTAAGGAACTTCATTGATGTAATCTATACAGCCTCCTCAGCTAGCCTTTTCCACTGTTACCTTTCATTTTAGGAAAGATCTTCCTAATGTCTAAACTGAATCTTTCTGGCTGCAAGTCTATTCTTTCTTTCTCTCTACCACAGAATGAAGAAAGAATTGCTGTTTGATCTTTGAATTCCTGTTTATGTCTTTGAAGAGTGCTGTCAAGCTACCCCTTAATCTTCTCTGCTCTAGAATAAAAAATATCACATTGATCTTTTCTCAGAGGACTCATCTTCTAGACTCTGAGTCATTCACACTTCTCCAGATTCTCTTCAGTAATTCCACATTTTTTCTTGAAGTAGATGGCCCAAGAATACAGTACTTAAGGTAATCCCCTACTACTACCAATCAGAAGAAGCGCTAGTAATCCTATGAAGGACTTCTTCACCTGCTTCTTTTTAATTCATTCCAGTATGAGGTTAATAATTTTATTTTGCAACAGCATGAAATTGTTCACTCATGTTCATCTGGTTGCCCACAACAGTTCCAAGATTTGTTTCTGTAAAATTAAATTGTCCAGCTGATTATTGTCACATAGACCTAATTCCTCATTTGCCTCTGTTGAGTTCCCACGTTTCCTCTGATCTTTTATCTAATGTATGAAGATCATTCTGAATTCCATTTTTATCCACTGTTTTCCATCCCACCCAAACTTCACGCAAGCTGTAAATTTAATAAGAATATTCCCTAGTCCATCATCCAAGTAGTAAATGAATAGTATCGAATACTATAAACCCTGCTTACTGTAGCCTCTGTTTTAACAATGTGCCTTTGTTAAGTAATTTCCAAGGAGTTTCCAATTTACTTTGTATTTGTTTCATTTAGTCTGCATAGTATGTTTATAAAACAGTATCAAAAGCCTTACTAAAAGCAAGAAACCTGACATCTACAGCTTTTCTTCCTGCCAAAAGGTCCGTTACTGTGCTGTTGAATGAAATTGGATTGGTTTGGCAATTGATTTGATTTGTAATCCATGTTGGCTCTTGTTCATCTCATTTTCTTCTATATGCTTATAAATAGTTTGATTATTTGACTCAACTTCATGTCTGAGAATTGAAGTTAAACTAATGGAAAACATTACAATATATTTAAGATGAATCATAACCTCTCCCCAACACTGATAAAAATAGGCACTGATACTGCACTCTGATCAGCATATAATTGTTTTAATAAAAATGCCTCAGAGCTTTTCATGGTGGTATACACTGCTCAGTAAAAAGTCTTCTTAGAGCTGCTACTGAAGTGCCAGCAAAAGCATATAATTTATCTGTTTAACCAGCAGCTACCCTTGTCTGTTTCTTCATTCAGTGAGATTACTCAGTTATAAGCAGCACGATGTGTGAATAATCAGAGTTTAAGCATGTCGCTGCAGATGCTTGTAGCCTTGGATACAGAGGCCGCTCCCAGTGAGAAGCATGACCATTGCTGGACATTAGATACAAGGTGTCTTACAGTCTTAAGAGCGGGTTA